TAAAAATCTGGTGTTCCTCAGGGTTAGTTTATTTTCTTTCAGTGTTCCTCAAGGTTAGTTTATTTTCTTTCAATACATACTCCCTAGGTGACTCCTAAAATTTCACAGCTCTAGCCCAGACCTCTCTCTGAGCTCTTGTCTTAAATATACAACTACCTATTTGACATCTATAGTCAAATCTCTCACCTGGCTAATCAGTATCATCCTTCAGATTTCAGTCTGGAGGTCACTTGCTCAAGGAAGTCTTCCTTAATTACCAAGTTCTAGTTAAATCCACTTAAATGATATGTTCTCATATCATCTTGTGCTTCTCCTTTTGAAGCAGTTATCAATTTATTATTATCTCATTCATGCTGATGGGGACAGAGCCAAAACAAAGTCCCGGGCATTATGGAAATTAAAGTTGTATATGAAAATGTTAATGAAATACTTAGAAACAGACTTTCTGAATGTCTTTCTGAAAGCAAATACTAGAAACAAATCTATTAAAATAAATCCATATTTCTAGGAAAAAAGAACATGAGAAGACGACTCCTACAGTATCTGTGATATCAAGAAGTTTTTATCAATTTTATAGAGATTTACATAATGTATGTCCATGTAGAGCATACAATTTCATGAGTTTTGACAGTCGTTTCTACTTGTGAAACCACTACCAAAATCAAAAATTCATGTATTTCCATCAACTCCAAAAGATTCTTGCGACCTCTCACAGTTCATCCATTTTTACACAACCATTGATCTGCTTGTCACTATAGATTAGTTTGCATTGTCTAGCTTCTTTCACCTACCATATCATTTTGAGATGCATTGACGTTGTATGTCAACAGATTTATCATTTTTATTGCTGAGTATTCTATCACATGGATATATCGATTTTGTTTATCCATTCACCTCTTAATGAACATTTAAGTTATACTCAGTTTCTGGCTACTGTATGTAAAGCTGTCAAAAACTTAGGAAATAGGTCTCGTTTATTTGGAGTATCTAGTTGTAGAGTGGCTGGGTTGTATGGAAAATATTTGTTAAGCTTTTTTTAAAACTCCAAATCTATTTTCTGAAATGACTGTACCATTAATTTTACATTCCCATCACTATCATATGAGTTTCAGATGTTCCACATTCATGTCAACATTTGCATAGTCAGTCTTTTTTAATGTTACACAGTGATATTTCAGTGTGATTTTAACTTGCATTTTCCTAATGACTAAAGATATTAAGTATCTTCTCACATGTTTATTGGTCATTAGCACTTTATTGGGAACTTCAGATCTTTTACCTCTTTTATAACAAATGTTTGTCCTGCCTTATTTTTAAGTTGTAAGAGTTCTTTAGATTTTGGATAACAGATTGGCATATATTTTTATTGCAAATATTCTCTCCAAGTCTGTGGTTTGTCTTCTCATTTTCATAAGCGTCATTTCAATTAATTTTCAATCCAATGTAATTCTTCTTTTATAATTCATGTTGCCTGAGTACTATCTAAAGAATCACTGTCTATTCCAAGATGGCAAAGATTTTCTACTGTTTTCTTCTAGAAAATTCATAATCTCAGCTTTTATGTTTAGGTATATGTCTACTTTGAGTAAATTTTTAATATAGTATAAAGTAAGGGTTAAGGATCACTGTTTTTCCATGAATATCCAAATGTTCCAGTGCTTAGGAAATAGGTCTCATTTATATGGAGTATCTAGTTGTAGAGTGGCTGGGTTGTATGGAAAATATTTGTTTAGCTTTTTTAAAAACTACAAATCTACTTTCTGAAATGACTGTACTATTCATTTTACATTCCCATCACTACCATATGAGTTTCAGATGTTCCACATTCATGTCAACATCTGCATAGTCAGTCTTTTAAATATTAACTGAGCAGATACACAGTGATATTTCAGTGTGATTTTAACTTGCTGGAAGAAAACTTACTTTCCCCCACAGAATTGTCTTGCCATTTTTGTTGAACACCAATTGACCATATGTAAGTCTAATTCTGGACTCTTTTCTCTTCTAGGAATTTATGTCTATTTTAGGCCAATGATACATCTTGACTACTGCAGGTTTTAGTAAATTTTGAAATCAAGGAGTATAAATCCATAACTGTTATTCTTTTTAAAAACTGTATTGGCTATTTATAGATCATTTGCATTCCATATAAGAAGGTGTTGTCATCATAAATGACATTCCCATGCCCCTGAAGATCTTCCAGTGAGGCAATATGTGGAGGCAGAAGACAGTGATGTTGCCGGGCATGTTGGCCCAAGCCTGTAATCCCAGCACTTTGGGAAGGTGAGGTGAGAGGATTGCCTGAGACCAGGGTTTCGAGACCAGCTTGGGCAACTTGGTAAGACCTCGTCTCTACAATAAATAAAAAAATTAGCCAGGCATGGTGGTGCACACCTGTGGTTCCAGCTATTTGGAAAGTTGAAGCGGAAGAATCACCTGAGTCCAGCAGATTGAGGCTGCAGTGGCCACGAGCATGCTACTGCACTTCAGCTTAGGTGACAGAGTGAGACGACGACTCAAAAAAAAAAAAAAAAGGAAAAGAAGTCAGTGATGTTGATGATCCTGACCTGGTATAACCTGGTATATGGTCTATGCTAGAGTGTGTGTTTGTGTCTTGGTTTTTAACAAAAAAGCTTAAAAAATAAAAAGCAATTTTAAAAAGAAAAAACTAATAGAATAAGGATATTTTAAAAAGAAAATACTTTTGTACAACCGTACAATGTGTTTGTGTTTTAAGCTAAGTGTACTACAAAAGTCAAAAAATATAAAAACATAAAACAAGTTTTAGAAAATTAAAATGTTTATAAAGTAAAAAACTTTTGGTAAGTGAAAGTTAATATATTATTAAAGAAATAAAAACATTTAAAAATAAATTTAGTGTAGCCTAAGTCTACAGTGTTTACGAACTCTACAGTAGAGTATAGTAAGGTCCTAGGCCTTCAAATTCACTCACCACTCACTTGCTGACAGCCAGACCAACTTCCAGTCTCACAAGCTCCATTCTTGATAAACATCCTACACAGGTATCATTTTTAATGTTTTGGACTGTATTTTTACTATGCCTTTTCTATGTTTAGACATCCAAATACTTCATTATGAAACAAATGTCTACAGTATTCAGTACAGTAACATGCTATACAGGCATGTAACCTAGGAACAATAGCCTACACCATATAGCCCAGGTGTGTAGTAGGCTAATACCATATAGGTTTGTATAAGTACACTCTATGATGTTCACACAACAATAAAATGGTCTAAAGATGCATTTCTCAGAACATATCTCTGTTATTAAGTAATACATGATTGTAGACGGATTTAGGTCTGCCATTTTATTATCTGTTTTCTGAAATCTGTTCTGTTTTTTCTTCCTCTATTCCCCTTTTCCCACTTTCTTTCAGATTATATAAATTTTTTTAGGATTACTTTTTAATATCTATTATCTATTTGTCTCTTCATTCTTTTTCCTTAGTGGTTATTTTAGAAATTAAAATAAACATCTTTTGTAGATGTCCTACGAGATGACTTCCCACCCTTCATTCTCACCTGTAAGAAATGGCTTGAGTGCAAAGATAAAAATCTAATATAGGAAATCATAGTCTAAAGACTAAATCTAGAATGTAAATTTAAGATCCCTTCCAAAGGCCTCAATAAAATTCAAGGTGACGTTTCAGAGAACCATTCAGTCAAACTATAGGGCTATTAGAAAGCATAAGGGTATTCTCCCTCAGGACTTTCAGTAGAAATCCAAAGGATAAAAGGTCTTATCTCAAAAAGATTTGTAGTTGTGGTTTTTTTCCTAATGGAATACATTTCAGCAAGATTCACAAGAGACCCATAAAGTTTTTAAAAGGATTGTATTTGCAGAAACACAGAGCTTGGACTGAAATGGACAGAGGCAGGAAAAAATTAAAAATGATACCCAAACTTTACAGGATGGATATAGCCTGGGAAAACTAGCAGCTGCAAACACAAGCTATCTTTAAAAAAAGAAAAGAAAAGAATGACTCTCAGAAGGGAAGCAACAGCACAGAGCGTGGTGTCAAGAACCATGGAAATCGTTCCCAGGCAGGAAGATGGTTGAGTCCCAATTAACGAATTTCCAACATTTGCCTGATTTGATTTCAAAACTGCTATGGAACAATGACTCCTGTTTTCCCTGTTTCTGCTTTCTGAGCATTAGTGTCTCCAGTGATTATTCTATACCTATATCGCCATAGCATATCAGGCATGTGAGGTAGTAAATATTTTGTGTGAGGTTTTCAGATCAAGAGAACTGTACTGAAAGAGATAGATAAGAAACTATGTCAAGGAGCCTCCTCTACAACAGACACTGATTTAGATGAGAAAATACTGGACTTCAAGCTAAAGCCATAATAGAACCTCTGATATTTGAAAACTATAATTTATCCTTGACTTTCCTATTTGTCTATACTAAGCAGTGAAAAAAGCAGGAGATTAAGCTGTCCTGTCATTTTTCCTAAATATCTCTTTATTTCACCCCTACTCTCTTTGGCAACTACTTTTTCATAGGTTGCAGTAACCCTCATACTAGTGTCCCTAAAATAAAACTCTTCCCAATCCATTGTGTAATCTTATTTCTTAGCTTATATTGGATTAATGATAAAATTAGGATCATTGCACTGTTCTTAACCCCTCTTGTAGCTTTCATCACATTGCACTGTAAATATCTGCTTACATATTTGCTTCCTCCACTTTTTATTTTTATATTTCCAGGACCTAGAACAGCACCTGTCACATAATAGAATATTTGTTTATAAGATGAATGACCAATGCTCATGTCTCATGTACTTCTAAAGCATTTGAAACTACTCACAAGAAAAGATACATATCCACTAGGACAATTAAGAAAGAAGTAAATAATAGCTTTCCAATAATCCAATTTACTTATAAAAAAAGCTAAATTTCTGAAAAAGTCATTCATTTAAAATAAATTATTTTCATTAATGTGAGACAAATGAGGTGGTAATATGTATTCATACCCCTTTTCAAAATGTTTGCCTGGTTTTCTAAGTCAGATATTTCAATCTTTACATTTTCTTTCATCAAAAATTCTCTTTTTTTTATTATTTCATACTCATTATTGAAGTCTGTAATTTCCTTAATAAATTTTTCCTCCTCCTTTATCATTTTTTTCTTTATAGCCTCCTGAAAAAAGAAACAAAAGATCAAATACAGATGATAGTTATGATGAGTTTTCTTTAATTATTTAAAATAATCACTTGGAATTATTCACAACAAACATATAAAATTTTACTTCCTGGTACTACCACAGAGATGCTTTTTTCCATAGTAATATATTAATAAAAAACTGAAGCTATATTTATATAATAACATACATCCTCATAAAAAAAATGTATCCTTGAAGTTTGGAGAGAATTGTTGAGGTAGACATTTACCATTCACCATTATACATGTGTTTGCATATTAAACTTCATTACGACATAAAATGGGATGGTAAAATAATTAAAGTACCAAAGTTAAAAATTAAAATTTATACTCAGAGGAATTATGATCTCACAGAAACAAACAAACAAGGATATCAAAAAAAAACTTGCTTTTTTGGGAGCTGGAGTCTCACTCTGTTGCCCAGGCCGGGGTGCAATGGCACACTCACAGCCATCGCAGCCTCAATCTGCTGGGCTCAGACAATCCTTCCACCTCAGCCTTCCAAATAGTTGGAACTACAGGCACACAGTACCACACTCAGCTTATTTTTTGATTTATTGTAGAGACCAAGTCTCATCAAGTTACTGGGGCTGCTCTCGAACCCGTAGGCTCAAGCAATCCAACTGCTTCAGCCTCCCAAAGTGCTAGGATTACAGGCTGAGCCACTGAGCCTGGCCAGAACATAAACTTTTTGACAATGCCAGAACCAAAATATTACTGTATTTTTTTTCCCAAGAAACTTAAATAAATTTTGAGGCACATTCTGAAACTGGTCACATCATTCAAACCACGAAGTCTCCTAGTTCTGATTTTTGATATGTATTTTTAGTATCTTTAAATATATTTTCTTTAAAATGTCAATTAATTACAAGTCATATCTCTAAACTGCTCTGTCATTCAAAACTATCATTCAGACTGCTGGTGCTTACTTTCTATAAAAAGATAAAGAAAATCCATTCTTTTACCCACATTCATAAATATGCCTGAAGTGTGAACCTCTCTGCCTTTCAAAGCATTAAAACCAAGGTCTCAAAGCCTGAGAAATTAAAATCAGTTTCATTGCTTCTCTTGTGCCTATTACAATTACAAATAATTTCTATATTGCATCCCTGCCAATATAATTACTTCAAAGTATATTAATCTTCAATTTTTTTATAAACAGCACTTAATACTTTTCTGTATCTGAACAGTACTATCCACCAATATGCACATGGATAATCTTCTAAAAGTACACCTAAGTATATTTAAATATTTTTGACACAGTTAGTGAAATAGATTTTTCTAAGTGATTGAAGACTTACAAAGGTTTGGAGAAGTATATTCCTCTGGCTTGTAAGTTCACTGCACTGTCTTTCCAAAGCATTTTCATGAGTTTTCAAAAACTGTAAAAGGAAGGATTTTTCAGAAAATTGCTGAACCTTCAAAGTAAAAAAGCAGAAATGAGAAGGAAACAATTAATCAGACATTTTAGGATGCCTTAGGTAATAGAACAGATTTCTACAGTATAAAACATTTTCTGTATTAATATTTAAAATGCAAAATAAAATTCAGATTAAACATCTTATTTTATATGTACTATCTTGTATTATTTTACTAGTATTTTATAATTGTAATTTTATAATCTCTTCCTCCAAAAAGACTATAGGCTCCTCAAGAGCAAAGAATGTGTTTTCTTTTTCCTCTCCATACCTAGCACAGTTCTTAGCTTAGGTGTAAACGCTTTTTGATTATGCACATTTAAATCTGCTCGTTTCACTGGGCTCGGTGGCTCAGCCTGTAATCCTGTGCTTTGGGAGGCAGAGGTGAGTGAATTGCCTGAACCCGCGGGTTCAAGAACCGCCTGGGCAACTTGGCAAGACCTCATCTCTACAATAAATGAAAAAATTAGCCAGGCGTGATAGCGTGCGCCTGTAGTTCCAGCTACTTGGAAAGCTGAGCGGAAGGATAGCCAGAGCCCAGCAGGTCGAGGCTGCGGTGGCCGGGAGTGTGCCACTGCACTCTAGTCTGGGCGACAGAGGGAGACTTCAACTCAAATAAAAAATAAAAATAATAAAAATTAAAAAATAAATCTACTGGTTTCTGTTCTCGCAACTTATAAGGGGGATATGGATGAATAAATCATGTAAACAATAAGACTAATAAAATAATGATATAAAATCTATAAAGCACAGGCAAAAACCCAGTTCCATGATTACAATTATATAAAATAAAACATAAGTCTGCTAAAGTCCTCAAATGGGGTTTGAGAACTCATTTTTTATTTTTGTACCTCATTTGGTTCTAAATAGCAAAAAATATTATAAACATTAATATTAGACATGCAATTATTATTTCATTTGGACCTTAAAAATAGCATCTACTGAGACATTAATACTGAAATGAAAGTCAAGACGTTTTAATATATAAAAGGTAAAAGGTAAAATGATGCTAGACTAGAAATACTGTAATCTTTCTACCATGTTCAGTACTAGCCCTCAAATGAAAGCATCACTTCCAGTTTGGAGCTGTTCCTATCTCTACAGAGAAAAGAAAAAGGATATAAATTCAACTTAAATTGCAGAAAGCAAGATTTATGTTAGTTATAAGAACTTCCTCAAGGTGAGAGACAGGTTGTGAAATCTCTGTCCCAGAAGATATTGAATAATAAAGACCTCAGAAATAGTCTAGTCCAGAGGCAAAAGGGTGGTTTAAAAGACAGTTTGAAATACTATGGCTAAAAAGTCCTAGAAATATTGGCATTAAAAAAGTAGCCAAAATAAAACAGAAAATATGAGCTTACATTTATATATAATCATAGCACATCTGTCTACACCTTCAGTACTTGGTGCTGTTCTCATCAACTATTTTAAGAAAGACATCAACAGAAAAGGATTAAAGAGGCACAATTTACATAACCAAAGGAAACAAGATGTTTTAAAAACTGTGGGAAGGGAGAATGAGGCAGTTAGTATTTTAATATCTGAGAAGGCAGAAACTAGAAAACATACAGCCAAAATCTATAAAATCAGATAAAAATTGTTAAGGACAATCAAGAATCTAATCATGAATTCTACCACATTTACTTAAAATAAGAAAATACCTCATAATTATTTAATACTTAATATATAAGAAAAAATAGAGAATAGTTAAATACCTTGACAAAGATTATGCAACTAATTAGGGGTAAATCCAGGACTAAAATCCAGGTCTTCTAATGTCCTTTCTTCCAACCATGATATTAACATGGAAACTATTTCAAAGTAATGACAAGGTAACTATGGAGCTAACAAGAGACTTTAGTCTCTGATAACAGTATAAGTTGAAAATATACAAGTTTAAGAAACATTTGGGAAAAAAATACTAGATTCATCAGAGATTACTGAGAAGGTTGTTTGCAATATATACTTAACTCTGAGATACTATTGTGGAGGGTGCCCAGAAATGTCAACAAAAATGCTTTAGAGACCAAATATTGGGAAGGATAAACTCTGGTTTAATCTGCTAAGGTATTTCAAGTATTATGTTCTTCAGAATCAAAACTCCTGAATGTTAATTCAGTTTCTACCATCAATCTATTGTAAAAAAAATCTGTGTCCAAATCCAAAATTGAAGAAAATATTACTTATTAAACTATGGAATTTTTAAATGAGACAAGCAAATTTATTTCTCAAACTCAGAAAAGTCCTATGTTAAGAACTCAGAAATTACGACGCACCTATCAGCAACTAAAAGCTAAAATTACCACTGAGTTCATGTCCTCCTTTTTAAAAGGGAAAATAAGAAATATTAAAAGAGTTACAAGGAGGGACCAAAAAAACCCAGAATTTATTTATAAAAAATTGTGTATTTATTCTTATACGTTTAAACTTCAGTCACCTAAAAATTACTCTCTATTTGATGCAATACACCTATTGAGATGCTTTTTCCACTGCTCAGTACAGTTTTGAAATCATCAATTTGGATGCCTTTTAGTGCTTTTACCATATTTTTGTTTCACCTCTTCCACATCGGCAAAATGTTTTTCCAGTGAGGACTTTTTTTTAATCCAGGGAAGCAAAAAAAAAGTCACTCAGGGAGAAATTGGGTAAACAGGAAGGGTAGGGACACCAGGGTCATGCCGTTTGGGGTCAAAAACTGCTAAACACTCAGCGCAGGGTAGGTAGGTGCACTGGTAAATCACCCATCATGAAATGGGCAGAAGCACTGAAAGAATCTCCAAAAAAGAACTCACTGAAGCCTCACACATCCTCTTACAACAACGCCAGCTGGTACACTGATGCTGATAAGTTCCTAAAACACTTACCTAGTGGAAGAAACCTGTGCTACAAAGGGCCCACTCTCTGAAAGATAATCCTGGGTTTTTTGAGTTCCCCCTCATATGTGACATATTGTTACTTAACTGGAATATTTTACCATAACCTAAAAAAAATGAAATCTACACACCAAAAACTAAAAAGTGGACAGCTGTTCTAAAGATTTATACAAAAGGTATATCTATAATTTTCCTCTTCTCTAAATTTCTATGCAAATTATCCATTTTGAGAAGTTTCTCTTCTTTGTTTTATTATATTATATATTTTATTATATTTATTATATTTTGTTTTGGAGGGTCTTACTCTGTTACTCAGACTGGACTGCAGTAGGATAATCATAGCTCGCTGCAGCCTCTAACTCCTGAATTCAAGCAATCTTCTTTCCTCAGTCTCCAGAGTAGCTAGGACTATAGACATGTACCACCATGCCCAGCTAATATATTTTTCTTTTTTGTAGAGATACGTTGCCCAGGCTTGCCTCGAACTCTTGGCCTCATGCGATCCTCCCATCTTAGTCTCCCAAAGCACTGGGATTATAGGCCTCAACCACTGTGTGCCCAACCTATTTTTATTAGTATTCTCTCTCCTCTTCATTCCCACTGTCTTAATCTCTTTACTTCTACAATTTCCTGTCTTAATCAAGTCCTAACATGTCCCAGAGAGTCTATAGAAAGATTACAGTAACATTAATTTTAAATTTACTTAGGATATATGATTTTTAAAATTTAATACAAAAAAAGTCTTGGCAAGTAGGGAAAATAACATGATAGAGAAAGTGGCAAGAATTTTGAAAAGCTAAAGTTAGAAAGGTCAAGAATAGATGCCTATAATATGAGAATTCACATTGTTAAGGACATTAACAGATTAAGGTTGTAGAAGCTAGATGAGGCCTAACATTATTAAGATAGAGTTTTCATACTTTATTGGAACTAATGAAACAAAAACTTTTGGATCTGTCCAGTCCCCCTCTGCCAAGTATAAATTATTCACTCTTCAGAAATAAAATAGCTTTTCAGTCACCTATTTGTAGAATGTTTTGAATTGTTCCTTTTGTTTGTTGTCTCAACAGATTTCTTGTTATCTTTTTTATATAACTGATGTGTAAAATTTAAGCAAATATCCCAAATATAACCCGAACATATTGATAGGATCTAAAGATAAATAAATAATCATCAGAAACTTCTCTTTTGTTACAAAGGTGGTGGGTAGAGATCAGAGTTGGGAAGATATTATACAAGATAATAAATTGTGACATGAAAATATTTCTAAACATATCTCTCTGAGTCTGGTTTGAACTAAGGCACTGTATTGTGTCCAAAGTAGCTTGAACCATTTATTTTATGGCAAATAAAAACTTAAAATTCTATTGATTCTGTGCCCTAAGTTACTCAGCAAGATTCCAGCAAGATATGGACAATATGAAGAGAGGGTAGTTCCTAAAGGCAGTAAAATATATTTCTCTTTCTCATCTCTCTACCCTCTAACTAAAAGTGAAGAAAAAAAATTGCATGTAGCCTTAAAGTTATATTTTAAAATCAAATGGCCACGGTTTGTCAGAAATATTACTGTTTTGGAAAATTCTAATTTATAGCAGTGCCAATTCCCTGGTTAATTCTGCTTCTCTCAGCAATAAAGACTGTTTTTTCCTTTCCCTGTTTTATTCCTCTTGGGATATTTGATTTTTTAATGGAGCTTATAGTTTTCCCAGTGAGCTGACTTATCTGGTCAACTAGGTCAGTTTTCAGCAAAGTCATGATTTGTGACTTTCACTTCTCTTGCTGCCTGGGTGCCTTTAGGTATTTTTCTACAAGAAGAACTTAAAAATTGAAAATAACTGAGGATTTTAAAATAATGTTTGGATCCAAGTAAGCAAAGTACAAAGGTACTCTTTGTTGTAGCTGCTGTTTTTAAAAATAATCTCAGCCTTAAGGCATCAGCATTTTGCTGATTAAATGCTCTGCCCAACAGCATAACAAGAAACTACATAAAAAACAAAGAGTTGTAGAAAGATTTCACATTACTAAAATCATAACAATTGTGAAAAAATGTAGTTATTACAATTATGATAAAACACATTTTAAATACTAGAGTACATCAATGAGTATTGTGTCGATAGTACATGTTAA